CAAAAGTTTCAAGCAAGATTTCCAAAACCTAAAACGAAATCCGAGACAGATGCAATGATTGCAGAAAAGAAGCACTCCCTGATAGAGCTTCCTTTAAAAACAAAAATAAACTCAATATGATTTTTTTTTTAAATGAATGGACGCATATGTTGCCAACCCTCACCTGGGAATTTGTGCTTCACACAGAACTTCAGTCATTAAGCCACCAGACACAAGTCAAGGACTACCCTTGTATTAATAATAAAGTCCAGCCCCTAAGTTAAAATATGTTGCCTGGCCCTGCATTGTACTTGCCAAGAAGGCAAATCAGGAGCCAAAAGAGTTCCTATAGAAACACAGAAGACTCAAGCCCAGATATCACCTCAACGGGAAGGGCAAACTGTGACATGAAAAGCATCCAGGAGCAAAACGGGGCCTGACACTAGGGTAAAGGATGGAGAGAAGCCAGCCAACTCCACAGACAACAGAGCACCTTAAATCCAAATTTCAAATCAGGAACTTTTGTGCACACAGTTAAGTTACATATCACCCTAGTACACGGGTCAGCAACCCACGGCTCCGGAGCCGCATGCTGCTCTTTCAGCTGTCTCCTGTGGCTCCCTGTCCTCAGCCACCATGTGCAGTCTGAAAAAAAAGTGGGACTAAAAAAGTTCAACCAATCAATTCAAACTTCTCATGAAGTTTGAATTTATTGGTTGAACTTCTTTGGTTTGTGGGACTGCCCACAAACCTCTTTCCTTCTTCAGACTGCACGGGGTGGCCAGGATTGCTGGAAACGTGTCCCTGGTAAGGAGCCTCGGGTGGCCGGTCTCAGGGTGCTTCTTCCCTGCCCAGTGGGTCTCACCTTGCCCTGCCATCGCCTCTGTTAGTGGGGGGGGTCGCCGGAGGTCTCTGTAGCTTCCTCTCTCCGCCTGCGCTTTTCGGCCGTCTCAGAGGCAGCGGATTCCCCCCGCGGCACCTGCCCGGTCCTTTCTCCAACTGCTGCGCGGTCCTCTTGGCCATTCTCCCGCCGCCAGTCGTGCTGAGCAAGGCCAAAGAGGCAGCAGTGAGCGGGCAGCCATCCCCTTCACCGTCCTCCCACTGCCGCCACCGCCTTTGGTACTGCAGAAGACCCCCCCTTGTCCCCGTGGTGGCATTCCCCGTTGCCGGTGCGGCCACCCATGGTGCACCCGGCCTTGGCGCCCTCTTCTTGCGATGGCAAAATGGTTAAGGACGTGGCGGGGGCAGTGGCCAGGCCGGGGGCAGCAGAGACGATTCTGCAGTGGCCGCTGCTGGGCCACCGCCACCAGAGCCGCTGCCTCCCATCCTGCTCCACCTCCCCACCTGTTCGGCTAAGGGGCCGCTCTGCTGTCACCGGAGCCACTGCCTCCCGTCCTACTCCCCCTTCCCGCCCGTTCAGCTGAGGATGTGGCGGGGCGGCAGCTGGGCCGGAGCTGCTGTCTCCTGTCCTGCTTCCCCTCTCTGCCCATTCGGCTGAGGACATGGTGGGGGTGGCGGAGAACACCGTCAATGCTGCTGTGGCCGCCGCCGCACCGCTCCATTGCCACCGGAGCCACTGCCTCCCATCCTGCTCCCCCTCCCCGTCCAGTCGGCTGAGTACACGGCGGCCGTGCCAGGAGCGATGGGGAACCCCGACGATGCTGCCGTTGTGCCATTGGAGCCGCTGCATCCCATCCTGCTCCCCCTCCCCGCCCGCTCGGTGCCGTCTGCCTTTCGTTTTCTCTCTCCCTCCTCACCTGGAGAGAGAAGAGAAAGAGAGAGAGAGGAAAGAGAATGAGAAAGAAGAAAAAGAGCGAGAGAGGAACGAGAGAAAGAGTAAAGAGAAAGAGTAAAGAGATAGAGAGAGGAAAGAGACAGAGAAAGAAGAAAGAGATATAGAGAGGGGAAAGAGAGAAAGAGGAAAGAGAGAGGAGAGAGAGGAGAGAAAGAGGAAAGAGAGAGAAAGAGGAGAAAGAGGAAAGAGAGAGAGGAAAGAGAGAAAGAGAAAGAGGAAAGAGAGGAAAAAGAGGGGGGAGAGGAAAGAAAGAAAGGCAAGAGAAAGAAGAAAGAAAGAGATAAAGAGAAAGAGAGAGGAAAGAGGAAAGAGAAAGAGGAAAGAGACAGGGAGAGAGACCCTTTTGATATCTAAAATGAAGATAACACTGCACATATCCTTTTTTACCTTTATTTTATATATATACACACAAATACATACACACACACACACAAACATATATTAAAGGTAAAAAAGGATATATGCAGTGTTATCTTCATTTTAGATATCAAAAGGGTTTTGAGGCTCCCAGTGTTTTGTTTTCGGTGGGAAACGTGTCCAAGTGGCTCTTTGAGTGTTTTGGGTTGCCTACCCCTGCCCTAGTTCATTTAATTAATGGACTTCTTCCACTTGCTCAAAGTAAAACAAACTGCCTTAGGAAAATGGTAAAAATGTGTATGAAGTTCTCTGTACTACAAAGGAGCAAGAGGGAGGAAACCAATTTAAGTGAAAGCTTGAACTGCATAGTTGGACACACACTCCTGGGTCAACTGGTCAAGTGCAATGATTGCGCTGTAGTTCATTGACCAGTGTTCAAACTACTTCCTCCAGAAACAGTCATTCAGACTCTCCAACAGTTATTTTTCAGCTCAGAATTTGTTCTGTTAACAATTTGGCTGACCTAAATTGTAAGAGAACAAATTGTTGTATGCCATCCAGAGTCACTTTCTGTGAGATGGACACCCATATAACATATCTGATAAATAACAATTAAGAAAAGAAAGAAGAGAGGAATGCATACAATGTCATATAAGAACATCAGGGCTGCCTTAACTTCCTCTTTGTGTTCAGATGTGCAACAACACTCTCCGCTTAACAGTGTGGACAGAGAAGGATGCTACCTAGTGCTTTATTAATGAGCAACTTTTATACCCTGCCCCAATCAACTGACTACAAGACCAAGGATCACTGTCATGGATGAAAGTGTACTATGAGACCAAGGATCAGGGGTAGGAGTAACTATGACTCTCTTAAATGTTTAGTTGCATGGTCTGGCATCTCCTTGTGGTGACTGCTGGGGAAGGTACGGGTGTGATCTTGAATCCCCTGTGCTCGAACTAAGACCCAGGCCACTCCCCTGCTGGGTTAATCACCTTGCAGGAGTTAGATGCTGGTTACGACAAGATCAAAGAAGTGCTTGGCCTCTCTGGACCCCAAAACATCAGCAGTAAAGATAGGACAGCAGGAGCCATGGAAGCTCCTTTGGACAGTTCTAGTTCTAATCATTTTATGTGCTCCTGGAGGCTCCAATTTCCATCACAGGGGAGCCTCAATACACACAAATAACACAGACACACAACCGATGTCAGCGCTGAGTGGGTTGCCGCACTGACCTTGAAGTGTTTGAACTGGTCCCTGGAAGACGATGAGACTGACGCCACCCCAACCTTTATTGGACAACTGGGGTATTAAAGAAGGAACTTTATACCCTTCTGGTTCCACATTTCCTGGGAGATTCCTATGAAGCTATCAAGAAGCATCTTCAAATTATTAAGTGCCTCAGGTTCCACCACACTGCCTGAGATTGTGCAGCAGCAAGAGACATTTCGCTCCCTTGCAAGCAGAATTAACAAGCCATGCATGCTGAATTCCATCGTTGTTACTACTAAAGCGGAGGTCTGAACTGAGTGGAGGAATGCTCTCACTCATTCCATCGATGGGCGAGAGTTGAGTGTTGCTGATGTGGATTGAGCCAGTCATGATTGGCTGTTGTGCTTCTTCTAGGTGTTCCTTTGCCTGTATCTATGGGGAATCCAATTGAGGGGCGGTCTACTCGCCACAAAATCCAGGGGTATGCATGGCCTCTGTCATCAGGTGCTTGACAGGTGTTGCAGAAACCTCTGAAACTCTTCACCACATTCTGCAAGTTTGTGAGATAACTCACAATGTGAGATGTGCTGGGTCATAATTGTGTCCTTCGTTAGCTAAAACAATTTTTGCAACGAGATGGAGTCCACTTGTAGGTTGAGACCATCATACCATCTGGGCCTTCCTTTAAACTCAACTTAATTGTGAAGAGACCCCAACAACTGTGAATCCTGGACATTTCAATAGTCTCTGGCTACAAGTTCCACTGACACCCTGTAGAACAGGTAGCTGCCCTGCCATCTAAGTGCCTGCTTTGGTCCTGAAAATGATGTGCCCCTAGGATGCCATGCTGACTATCTTTGGAAAATTGGGATGCTCAAGAAGGAGCTTTTTCCTCTACTGCCTCCCTACTTTTCAGGTCACTTGTCAGAAGCCTGAAGAACCATTTCCAATTCATCAAATGGGCTCCTCCATCATTGATCCCTGCATCCTCAGGTCCTCCACCACCATCTCCTTCATCTTCCAACCATCCACTAACTTCAGCAGGCTCAGTTGTTAATCCTGTCTCTGACCCTAGTTTCATGGAGATCCACCTTATTAGAGTTTGCTGTGCAACATCTTTTAAGAATTGAAAATGGGAACTGACACCTTGAACCTGGATTGCCCACAACCTTCAGTCCGGTAAGCTTAGCCTGCATTGATGTGCAGACCTTCTGCAAGAATATGCCCAGTGATGGTTTACCCATAAATGAAAACCAACTGAGATCCAGTCCAAGAGCACCACCCAACAGTGGAGTAACAAATCCATCCATAGAATGAATTATGCCATCATCCAACACCTTACATGCTCGAGAAAAGATGTTGCTTCTACCATGCTATCCAGATATTTGAAGAATGTGCATTGCAGCCCCTTTCCTATTCCACCAGAGATGATGCTTGCGGTCAATCTTTGAGACTCCCAGCACAATCAACAATGCACAACCCGCACACCCATCTGTAATGCTGTGGTCCCTTCTGGATGTCATCACCCCATCAGAAGTCACTATGGGACATAAGTTCTAGTGCGCATTTAAGGATCCAGCAAATATCATAAGTACTCAGTGTCTGTTATGTTTTTTTTAAAAAAACCTCATTGTTTATGTATTCAAGAGAACATCAATAAACTCAAATCAATTTATAGATTTTTAAAAGCCCACTTCATACTACAGATTCTAAATGATACAATGACAAGCCTTTCTCTCTTCTTCACTGAAAAATGTGAGCCAGAATGGTACAATTTGCTTACACAGAATTGATTTCTATTTGGTTCGTTCTCTTGATTAACTACATGGAATTGATTATGTCTGCTAGGGACACAAGATGCTTCTTACAGTTCTAAAAGAATTAAATACTCTAGGTAACAGAAACAGGAATGAAACAACGTCATTCAACAAAACTCTTTCAAAGCACTGTCAACTTATTTTCAAATCCATACAAACAACAGGATACCCAAGATCAAAATACAGAGGTTAATAAATATGTTTACAAAACAATATAACAATTCAGATAAAGACAAATGCATCTAATGGTTAGATCTATATGACTGGCATCATATCCAAGAGCTAGCTAGATGCTCAGACTTTGTTTCTTGATCTACTGCTGATAAAGTGCATAAGCATATATTTTTTCATATACAGTAATCCTTGATTCAACTTTTACTGAGCCCAGAATTCTGGTCATGAGTCATTGCAGTCATTAAGTGAGATGCCCAGGTGACCCGCCTTGCTCAATGACCACAATCCCAGTCCTCCCAGTGCGGCGGCAAAGCGACTGCATGGGTCATTAGGTGGATGGATTGAAACATTTGCCTGTCATGCGCAGAGATCCCAAACACGTGAGCTTCATTTCTTTGGCCCACTTCAGACTTCCTCTCCCCTCTATGTGCGGAAGGAAACCCCCATGCTTGGCCAGAGAAAGGAAGCTTGGGTCCCCAAAGATCTGAATGTTTTGCCTCTCCCCTGGCATGGCTGCTTTCCTCCTGTGTGCTAGCCTCTCAACCTTTCAGAAACATTGCATTTGCTAGCTTTCTGGTTAGAAAGGTAGCGAACGTGATTGGATCGCAGGTTTCATTATCCCACACCACAGCTACGCCGGCTGGGAACAATGGAGCCTCTCCTCCAATGCATCTGGAGAGAGGGTTGCTCAACCAATATCCTGCCACAATATTACCGAGACAAATATATAATCAAGAAACCCGCCCAGGTAACCAAAAGAGATCGTTTCATGGGGCCTTCTGCAGTTCATCTACAGGGGAAAGAGATCCCTGAGGGAAAGATGGAGCCAGACGCCTCGGAAGCCTCCCAAAACAGCGCCTCACTGTGGTGAGGCTGAACGAAGTCACATTGCACACTGATTTTTAATATATTTTTTAATACTATTTCATAATAAAAGTACTGCCTTTAAAAAAGAAAAAAAAAGGTAGCGAATGTGATTTTTTTCTGAATAACAGAAAGGCTGGAAAAAATAGAAAAACAGAAAGCTAATAACACGATGTATTCGAATGGTAAAAAGTGGCTCTGCTAGCCTTTAAAACAGTGCTTCTCAACGTTTGTGTGACGGCGCCCCCCGTCACACAAATGTTCTGCGCATGCGCCGGGCCGCGCCCCGCCCCGCGTGCGGTGCACCGCCCCCACGTGCGGCGTGCATGCGTGGCACCGCCCCCACGCGCGGCGTGCATGCGTGGCACCGCCCCCATGCGCGGCGCGCGTGCACGGCACCGCAAAAAATGGCGGATCGCCGCCTTTGGCGACCCCCGAAAAATGGGCGATCGACCCCAAATGGGGTCGCGACCCATAGGTTGAGAACCGCTGCTTTAAAACAATTGTGAGAAAAACAACAGCTCTTATGATGTTTCTGAAGGCAAGCAAGGCTGGAAAGAGCCTTTTTTACTATTCGGAAACACGGTGCTTACTGGTTTTTCTGGTTGGAAAGCTACGAACATGATGTTTCTGAATCGCAGAAAGGTTAGAAAAAAGGTTAGACATGCAGAATGCAAATTTCTTTTCTGCAATCCAATGCTGGAGTTCCCTTCTGCGTGCATGGGGGGGGGTAGGGGGTACTCTGATGCTAGGCTGGAGAAAATCTCGAATACCTTTCTTTCTCCAACCCCATGCTAGAATTTCCCTTCCACTTCTAGCAGAGGAGGGGGAAACCCTTCTGCAGGCAACAGTAGCTTGCAACCTGGTGGCTTCTGCACTGACTTTCTGGGGAAACCGGAAGGGAAGATTGTAAATGATAATCACATAATCGCAACCTGTCGCAAGTGCAAACAAATCGCCAACTGCCCGAAATGCCATCGCCTGACTGCGGGGATTGTGCGGCAGTTGTAACTTCAAGGAATGGGTTGTAAGTAATTTTATTTAATAACTCTGAACTGTCATCAGGTCAAGAGTTGTAACTATGTCTTTTTTTCATTATTCTGATTAATGGCAAGAATTTCATAACAGCTTCTGATAAAGCATAAGAGTGAACAAGGGCATTTTTCATCTTCCTCCAGCGAGGCTGTCAGAGAACCAATGCAAGAAAAATGCAGGCCAGCTGATCTGATCAGCAATGCTCTGATGTACTGGAAGGCATTTCACCTAGTCCACCTTGGTTCTTTTATGACTCGTGGACTTCAACTCCCAGAATTCCTGAGCCAGCCATGCTGAGGGGAAAGGGAGAGGTTTCCAAGCTGAGCCACGCTGGCTCAGGAATTCTGGGAGTTGAAGTCCACGAGTCATAAAAGAGCCAAGGTTGCCTATCCCTGGCCTAGTGGCACTGCTTACATCAACTGTATTTTACTATTATCTTGTGCTGGAGATAGGTTTTCAATATGGATTTTTATATTTTGTATCTGTTGCTGTGCTTTTGGTGAGATGGGGGGGTATATAAATTTAATAAATAAACCTTGTATAAACGGAACATAATCAGGGACACAAAAATCCTTTGAATAATATACTTATCCGTGTAAACTATTAAAGTAACCATAGTACTATTATAAATACTATGATAATAATCAAGTAGCAAGAAAACTGAAAAAAAAATTGCAACAGTTAACAAAACGGTCCAACACATATACTCTTGCTGCCTCTAACAGATGCTTATCCCTTGCAATCACTCAGCTGCAGTAAACAAGATCCTCATATTCAACATACCAGTTCATGCATTCATATAAGTCCCACAAAAATATTTAAACATGCCTGATTTATCAAAACACTGAAATACTTCCCTACCATCAAATAAGTGTATCAATCTTAAGCTATATAATAGTTTCAAAGCATGGCTTTATACTACTCAGATGGCTAGCAAACTTTAAAAGAATTATTTCACGAGAGAGATCCAAGATTTCCTAAAAGGACAAGAAAAGCAATATTTGGATCAAGGCACAATTTACTAGGATTGTGTTATTTTAGTAGGATCTAGGCATAGAGAATTCCTGACAGATTGTGCCTACAGTAAATTAATAGCAGCTGCGTACATTAATTTAAGCATGCTCACCTCATACCTATTTAGACCCAGTGTTCCTTTGAATAAGTACATTCCACTAACAGATTCTTCTAACTTCCTAGCTCATGTAGCCCTTCACCAGCATCTCCAAAGTCCCTCCTGGGACTCAAATATCCAGACTGTCAAAAAGCTGGAGATTTTTGGGTTATCAGAAACCGGCAAGTTTTTTTTTTCCAGTGGCAGGTGCCAGAATATTAAAAACACAGTAATACAAATAGCTGGAATACCACAAAATCACCTATTCTCATACATCTCCAAGTTCTAAAATAAGAATGCTGAAATCTCAGTGCATCTGTGTTCTTATCTAAATTCCTGCAAGATCCTGCCACGTATTTGCTAACTTCCTTACATTTTGCAATCTGGCAGCAGCCTACCTGTCGTAGGAGTCTAAAAGTAACCTCCAAAGTTGTAAGTTAATTAATGAGTCCTAATTAGAGTTGCCATTTTTATAAATAAATCAGTGTAACAGACATTAGAAACAAAGCACGTATTTAAAAAACCTCTTACACAGCTAGTACGGAAGCAAGATTAATATTCCAAACGACAAACATTTTCCTATGAGAAAATATTTTATCAGTAACTGACTGGATAGGCCGCATATAAATCTATCCCTCACTCTATTAAGGATCGCAAAAAAAGGTAAGAATATCAGTCAGCGGGGTCTGCGCCTTGTAAGTCACCAATAATAATACTTATTCAACAAAACTGAACTTGAAGCAGGCTGTGAACCTAGTGCAGACATAGTTTTTGCCCCCAGGGGAGCTTTGTAGTCTTACGAATTTTTTTCTCATACAAATTTCCCCATTTTCACCCTTCCATTTTCAAAAGAGAGCAAAAATAATGGTTCTGGCACTGCGCCATGTTAGGTTCCGAAAGAAAAAGGAATGCATTACCAACAGAGGTGAGGAAGGGAGAGAAAAGGAGCAGCTTGACTCCACGGATTATTCCTGATCAGACGGTGCTATGTCTGCGCAAGGATCGTCTGAACCCCCGAGTGGCTTTGTGCAATTAATGGAAGAACTGCCTTCAAGCCTCAAATTACAAACCTGGTAACAATTACTATTACACAGGACTATAACATACTTTTTCAGGGACTACTAAAGAGTAATCAGTAAACAGTTACCATGAAAGGTTCCTCCACTCTGTTATTTTTTCTTCTTGATGCTGTATGTGTATATATATATATATATATATGTGAGAGCCAGGATCATAGTGCAAGGTTTTTCAGCAAAAGCCATGCTGAACTACCATCACTAGTTAACAGGCCAAACTGGATCAAGACCTATGTGTCTTCATCAGTTTGATCTTTAGTCAGTTCCTGTTCAGACACACTGGACACGTCATCGTCTGTCTGTTCACCTGAGTGATAGAGCACCAGTGCGTGGGTCTTGTGAGTAATAGTGATAGTGCAAGGGCCTTGTGCCCAAGGCTCCCCATCCACCTGCATTGGCATCTTTGAATTCTTCAAAATCAACTGAAATCGAAAAACAAAATGGAAGTTTAGTAAGGGTAGAGACTGTGGAATCTGTCAACTCAGTTTTCACATAGAACACCAACACTAAATATATTTAGCATGCACTAAACAATGTAATTAATTCCCCCCTATTCAGGGGGATAACCAAACTAGTAGGAGCCTGAACAAATCCCCTTTCCTATGGTCTCTTTATGCTTGCATCTCTTTTATAATTTATTATTAGAATTTTATCCCACCTTTATGACTTTGTAAGTAACTTAACGCAATGAACAGACCCAATACTCCTTCTTTCCTCCTCCTATTTTTCCCACAACAGCCCTGTGAGGTGAGTTGGGCTGAGAGAGAGACTGACTGGCCCAAGGTCATTTTCCTTTGTAACCAACGTAGGAGGAAGGCAGCAAGGTGGCAGAGGAGGCTTTCCCAAAGCAAAAACCTGGTCTGCAGATTGCTTTCCCTGTGGCATGAAAATGAAAACTCCTGAGAGCATATTAACAAAATCTGGAACAATTTCTAAACCTCTCTGGAGAGAGAAATAAATAGAAGATTTGGGAGAGGGTAGAGTTGAATGAGACAACACTCTGCCCTGAACAAGAAACAAGGGAAAGGACAGACAAGCATTCATTTTAGAAAATGCTTTGGAAAGTATAAGCATTCAGATGACGTTTTTGTCTTGAGTATATGACTATGCCTCAGTGTGAGGTAAATATTGTTTGGACTCCGGGAGAAAGTGGACTTCCTTGTGTACCGGCAGAAGAACGTACACTGTTAAGAGAAGACAGTAGGCATATCCTTCTTTTTCTTCTTTCTGTACTAGCTTGGCAAGATTTGAGAGTGACACTCCAAATGAGTTGGCCTAAATGTTGAATATAAGCAGATCATCTACACCAGAAGGTCAATCATGGCACCAAAGGGCGCTGTCCACATTTTCCTCCATAGCCACCAAAAATTAATTTAAAAAAAAAATGTAAGCCCCAATTCCTAAGTTTTGCCGAGTACCCGCCCCAGAGATACAATGTCTTCATGCAATACAGAGTTTCCTGGCTTGGACTATTTCCAAGAACAATTAAACTAATGGGCAGTGAGGTCAGTCTCCATGCCCTGCCTTTTCCCAACACGCTTTCTGTTTCATTATTGGGCTCCGAATAAAAGGTTCAATCCAGAGTATGGAAAACAGCCACAGAGATGTGCAACATACCCTTACTGTATGGGCCTGTCCCAGCCGGACAGGATTTGCAAGCTTCACTTGAATTTGTGCGCAGTGAAATGAGCCATTGACTCCAACAACTTCCAGTAGTCCATCATCATGCCTGAAGTAGGACAAGGAGAGTTTATGATCAGTAAAGACATCCTGGACCCAACTGTCAAAAAGGTTACTGGATTAGGAGTATCACAGCCCTGCCATAGTACCCCACCCCTCCCCAGACTGAAAAGGTATGCTGAGAAACCCAAATGGGTAGGTATGGCTGAAATTTCGCATCCCAATCCAACTCCTCAAGCCTCCTCAGGAAAGGAAAGGAGGTAGAAAATTGAGATGATGATCTAGATCAGGGGCAGGCAACTTTGGCTCTTTTATGACTCATGGACTTTAACTCCCAGAATTCCTGAGCTAGCCATGCTGAGGGGAAAGGGAGAGGTTTCCAAGCTGAGCCATGCTGGCTCAGGAATTCTGGGAGTTGAAGTCCACGAGTCATAAAAGGGCCAAGGTTGCCTACCCCTGTTCTAGATGCTGCCACCTGGCAAGAAAGAGGAAGTTGGGGATGGAACAAATTATTCTGTAGGATCCTTGGGGCCCTCTGAGCTTGGGTTTTTTTTTTTTTTTTTTGCAGATTTTTCATTACCAAACTAGGTAACATCATCAGTGCGATCTCTTGTATTGAAACAAATTATTTCTTTTTAATTTGGACTTCCAGTGAAGATGGCCAACTAAACCCTGAAGGGGTTTTTCCCTAGCTGGCACTTTTTCAGCTTACCAACAGAAGGAACCTGTATTCCTTTAGTTTATATTACTCTCTTGGGTTAGAGAAGGACCTAGAGCAGTGGTTCTCAACCTTTCTAATGCCGCGACCCCATAATACAGTTCCCCATGTTGTGGTGACCCCCAACCACTTATACATCACCGGGTGCCAGGGGCATGGCCAAAGAAAAGGGGGAAAAATGGCGGACAGCCTTGTTTGGCGACCCCCGTGAAATGGTTGTTCGACCCCAAATGGGGTCCTGACCCACAGGTTGAGAACTACTGATCTAGAGTCATCCCACAAGATCTGCTGTATCGGGTCTGCAAGTAGCTTCAGGAGCTGTGCTTCAAAGCAGCCTGCATGCTGACAGCTGGGTAGAAGGCAGCTTCAATCAGTTCATTGTTGAAGAAGCAACCCTTTTGGAATTTATTTTTCAAATGGACAGTAACTTGTGCCTTTCATTTCTTAATCATTTTTAAGGACTATTAATTTTTATTAAACTAAGAGAGGCTTCTCTTTAGTCACAGCCTGTTATTCCTTTTTGAAGATCTGTGCCATTAAAAAACAAGGAAGAAGGCTGCTAAGGCAAGCTAAAATAAAGAAGTGTGGAGTATCTTTTTTAAAAACAAACTGATGGAGAAATATAAGGGTAGAAAGTTGTGGTACTAGTTTATTATTTTTAGTTATTTGTAGTTTGGTCTGCTTTGCTGTGGGTGGCTAAAGCTTTCTGATTTATGAGTCCTGATTGGCCAGCAATTCTTCGGTAACTTACAAAAAAGTAAAGAGGGAGTTAAGAAGATGGAACAAACTATTAGAGATGTCTTTGAACAATCTTTAAAAAAAATCCAACAATTCATAGATCAGCTATGCTCCAAGGATGTTAAAAAAAACTACTCAAATTACTTCAGAGATGCAAATATGTGTAGAAAACTACCAAACCACTGAGGCAATTTCACAAGTAGCTGTCAATGTAAAGGAATCAACTGCATTTCTGGAATATAAACCTGACTCTATTAAACCAATCTCTATTATGATGGTTTAAATATACATCTCCCAACACAATTGAAAGAAGAGTTTCAAGAAAATCTGCAACTTTCAAAATGACAAATATGAGACTTTTTCTTCATGGACACTAACAAGGTTGAGAAATCCTTGAGAAAAAGAGAAGTTTATAACTACCTGATAAACATTCCAGAGAAGAAAAAAATGTTATTTCATAAAAATAAGCTGGAAGGAGTGACTTAAATTTAATGAGTCAATTGGCATTAGGATGGATTTTTATCGGTCTGATATTGTAACTGAAAAAAAGTTTTAATATAAAGTGGGCCTGAAAATGCATTTTTCCTATCTATCTGTCTGTCTGTCTGTCTGTCTGTCTGTCTATCTATCTAATGCTTAAGTAATTATTAAAGCTTGTAAAATAGTACTGAGTGTATTTGAAAGTATCTATGTTAAGAGAAAGTTAAAAAAAAGATGTATTAGCTTATAGAAAAGTTTAGAGTTTTAAAAAGGATGTATACAAGAAGAAAATTTTTATAAGGGTAACTTGGAGGGAGTGATTTAAATTTAATGAGTTAATTGAAGCTAGTTGGAACTTTATTAGTCTAATTGAAAGTGAACTTTAAAAAGGGAAGTTAAAAAAAGATTAGAACTTTTTGATCTTAGAAATGTTTTTAAAGAAAAGTTTGTTTTAAAATAGATAAAAAAAAGTATTTTTCCCCTTTAAGGTTAAAGAATCTGAAAGAATACAGTGAATTTTGTTAATACAAATGGTGATAGTTTATAAAGATTTTTAAGTGCAAATAGAAATATATATTATTTCCACAGCAAGGAAGAAAAAGCAAAAATGGTTAAACTATTCAAAGAGGGGAATATATTTAATTATGTTTTCTATTTGGAAATCAGTACTGGATTTTGTGTTTGTGATGAAAAAAAAATGAAACTTTGTCTTTAGTTTTGCCGATTAGATAGATTTGTTGTTATAGAAATGGCTAGTGTATACTAATGTGTAAAAGTAAAAAGTGGAGGCTGTAATGTTGTTATCTTCTCCGGTGCTAAAAAAGAGTAGGAAGTCAATGCTTTTTTTTCTTTTTCTCCTTGTACCCCATATTTTCTTTCCCCCTTTCTTTTTCCTTCCCCTAATTTCCTATTTCTATTTTCCTTTATATTTTATACTTGGATGAAACAATAAAAGTCAAAATAGACCCCCCCCCCAAAAATATTCATTTTTAATTTAAAAAGCAAAAAGCAAAAGAGACAAACCTAAAGTTTTGGTTGGGCCATGCACTGCCCTCTAAACTGAAAGGAAGTTCTTTTCCCAAACATTACTATTATAGAGTCCTCATTTGTTAGGATGAAAGAAAGAATAGGAGAAAAAAATCAAGGCCTGAGTAAAAACCCAATGCCCCAAAGAATCAGGAGGCCGAATGTAGGGCAAAGTAATCCAGAAAGTGAGTAGTGGAACTGTGCCCAGGCTTCCCAACCCTGGAAATGCAGACCACATGGGAACACCACAACTGAGGTGTCCAACTATCAGATGGTCCTGCTTTGATGAATCACCCCTGGATGCAAGACTCTCCGAACCTCCCCAACAGTACATAATTAATATGCAACTTATTACTAACCTACCTTGCTAGAGGATAAAGTTCATCCCCCATTCCTTCCCACAGTCGACAGCCACCTCCCCAGTAGGCAATATTTAGCACTATGATCCCCTCCAAACTGGGCAAGTCGATCTTCTCTCCATCCAACTCTAGCTTTAAAAAATATACAACAGGGTGTTAGTAAGTTACACTTGCAGGAATCAATTCAAAATGTTAGCCATCTGAGGCAAATCAGAAGAGAATGTAAAGGAAGGTGAGCAATCAGTTTGTACAGCCTCTGGGCTCACCCATTACGCTAAGCCAGAGATAATCACGGCTTGAGAAACATGTTCCAATCAAGCCACTACTAGTTTTGCAAACAAGCAAAATAATCCTAGCTTATTTGGCTAATTGTTATTTTGCTTTCCCTTGTTTTTTAAACACTGCTTTTGCATTGTAGGTCTATGGATTGGTCAGGGGCTTGACTGGAACACAAAACAAACCAGGAAACTCCATGTGGCCTGGTCTGTTATGGAAGAGCGATTTATTTATTGGCCCCATTCATACTTCATGCTAAGCCAGAAACAAACCAATCACATTCTGATTTAATATAAAGGGTGAATCTCCCATGTGACTTACAATGAATTGATCTGGGGAGTTTCATGTATGCTTACAAAAGCAAAAATAAGTACAAATGAGCATCCAATGATTGCTATCTAGGACAAAAAGAATCCTTATTTTAAAAGCTACTAAACATACTATTGATGCCCATCTGCTCAAAATGCCACTAAAGCTTTTCCATGTACTGTACATCCTTGATTTAATGTATACGATTTCTGATTCCACCTCCTTATAAATGACAAGATATGTCTCATATAAATTAAATTCTTAGGGAGAGAGGAAATATGGTCATCTTACCTCAATCTTTTTATTTAGATCCTTACATTCCTGAACTAAGCAATCTTTGGTTCCATAAAAAAAATACACAGCCTACAAAACAAACAAACAGAGGTGGGATTTCAATGGAGAAGACTGGACAGAGTGGCATTTTTTTCCCCCTGTTACAGAACACATTTAAGTTTCCAAATTCTTTTGAAGTACATAGAATTATTGCGTAGAAATATTTTGAAAGAGATAACTACCATGAACAAATGTTTAAAATTCTAATGCAAAGGGACAGAAGGATCTGCTTTTTTTCTACAAGTTACTCAGTTACATTTTCCACTCCACCCCCACTATCCCTGGCCAGCTGAAATAATGCATATTACCACTAATGATTTTGAAAAAAAAAAATTCTGCAATTTCCTAATTTGGGACCATCCATATTCCAGTTATATAAGCTTTATATTACATCTAGAACTTTTTCTTTGTGGTACAACTTGTGAACATTTATGAGTCAAATTACATTGATAACAACATGCAGGAAATCCTCATTTAATGACCATCGCCATTTGCAACCATAATGGTCAGGCTCCATTACAATCGTAAGTCAAGGAATACCTGTGTTGTGCTCCTCTCAGATTAAGAATGTCCTGATTTAGAGATAGTCATAAAATCAGGGAATCCCATCAGAGAAAATAAAGTACGCTTATGTGTATCTACAAGAAGACTGGCCAACACAAATTCTCCAGATTGTACAGTATTTTAGTGTAACAATCAAGAATACTAAACTAGGACTAGACTACTACTAGTAACTTTCAACTAGTTACTTCCTCTAAATATTGTTGGGAGAAAATGAGTACAGTTTTACTATATGCATTTAGCTGAGTTATTTGGACGAAGGACAGGTAAATAATGCTTGAGTTACAGTCATTCATTTAGTGACCATTTTGTCAACGCTGCAAATATTGTATATTCTTGCTTTTGACAATATGCAAAATTGTCTGGTAATTATGGGGTTAATACAGAGCAGAATTGGATAATGTGAGATATGACGGCTAATTTAGGGAGGGAACATGCTGATAATTTAACTGCTCAGAGGAAGAGAACTTAGATCCTAGCATCCCTCCATTGTACCTGTGCCGACATTTTGATTTAATAAAAGACTTTTAAGAAAATAAATGCCTGGAAGTTCTTTGAAATGTTTCATTAGCCAGAACCATAACACATTTAACATTACAATTGCACTGAAAAAGGTGATTTATGACTGTTTTTCATAAATCTGGACACTTGGCTCATATTTACGATGGTTGCAATGTCCCGGGGTTATGTGATTACCTTTTTGCCACTTTCTGACAAACAAAGTCAATGAAGAAGCCAGATTCACCTTAACAACCGTGTTACTAACTTAACAACCACAGTGATTCGTGTAACAGCCGTGCTCAAGAAAGGGCATAAAATGGGGCGAAGCCCATGTTACCACTGTCTCGTTTAGCAACAGAAATTTGGGGCTCAATTGTGACTGTAAAAATTGAGGGCTACCTGTGCCAGAATTTTCGGCTCATTCAACCTACCTTGTTAATAATCCTGCTAGTAAAAAGAGATGGAGTCTTCTCACGGTGAACATGAAAGTTTAAAGCCATGAGGGCATCTGGCCCTACTGAAAAATAGTTATTCATTGTGAATACCTGCAAAGAGAGAGAACACCGGCCATCAATAAATAATCAAGGCAAAACTGGGGAAGAATAAATTTACAAAAAACTTGGAAGAGTCAGTTTTGCAAAACATACATGTACACACACATCAAGGAACAGTATTTTTTTTTTTTAAAAAAAAAAAGACCTGGGGCTTAAGTAATGCCATGAGGCTGGTGAAGGAAGTGCAGTGGGGTCACGCAATGCTCTTTTTCAAGAAAGTGTGTAGATCTGAACATTCTGTTCTGCCTCCTGCTCAGCACTGCTATGGCTTACCAATGTTAAAGGGGAAAAAAAATTCTTATATCTCTTTGCCGATAAGGCACAGCAAGAAGACTAGACCAAATTTTAGAACCATTCTCTGCCAGGAAGTAGGATGGTTGGGAATTACAACCCCTCTGATAAAGGGGAAGGGGGCATCTCTGAACCAGCAACATTCTTCTCTTCTAAAATGTCCCAAGTTCAGACTAACATGGATATTTCCCATTCCCAAACTGTCAATAATAAGCCTTCAAACGAAAAAAAAAAAAGGTTAATATATGATCTGGCAGAATCTTAGAAATAGCAAATAATCCACCTCTTTCATACCTCACACTAGATTTTATCCAGCTCTCCTGAATATGCATATTTGCTTAAGAATCTTGCTGGATCCAAGAATTCCAGAATCTAGCAGCTCCAAGTGGATCACTAGACGTTACTCACCTACCCATAGAGGATCAGGTTCTTATGTTACAGCATTTTAATCACTATACAAAACTTAAACATTTCCAAGCCTTACCTTCAATTTTCTTAGGTTGTAGTATCCTTTGTTTATTACCTGAACTTTCCATCTAGGAGAGAATGCACAGATTGGCATCTTACACGGCAAAACAAACAGGGAAAAAAAAGAGAGCTAACAATGGCATCCTGAATCAATCACAGTGATGATTTTCGGGACAATGACAATTGCTGAACGAATTTTTCAATACCTTTTTAGGTTCTTTTTGTGAGTACATGGGAGTGGCAGGCCCTCATGGTTGCCACTCGAGTGGATTGGTCTATTCACCAAATGCTTATCTTGGTGGGCATATCTTGCCATATAATCCTTTTTATCAGAAGGCAAAACTGCAAAGATTGTTCCTTGCTACTCTTCTAGCTTCTCAAGATGTTTGTTTCAATTCTAGAATGGCATTGTCTTTTTAGGGGCATGTGGGTACTTTTCTGTATTTTTTTAATACCTATCTCAGTGGTGGCGAACCTATGGCACGGGTGCCCTCTTTGTGGGCACACGTGCCATTGCCCCAGCCTCGCCTCCCCTGCGACCCCCTCCTCTCCAGCAGCCCCCCTGAAGGAGAGTCAGCGTCAGAGCAGCGCAGCCAAGGACATGGCAGCCAGGCAGTGTAGACAAGATTCTGCCTTCACAAGTGGACAAGTGGATTTTAAACCTGAACTTTTTTTACTAGGTATTATGCCTGAAAAGACTAATAAGCAGAAACTATATTTAATCTTACACATCACCACAGCAGCGAGAATAATTTTTGCACAATACTGGAAGAATGAAGGATTGCCATCAGAAGAAGAAATAATCAGGAAAATATTGGAATGTGCAGAGATGGACAGATTAACTATGAGGTTGAAAGATAAAGAAGATAACAGACTATTATCAAATTTGGGACCTATTTTATTGTTGGCTAGAGGAAAGAATGAAGGATTAGGAATTGAACATGTATTAGCATAGCAAACTCCAGACAACTCGTTGATTGAAAAAATTAACATATGTTTATGAAAAAAAACCCAATAAAATCTTTATTAAAAAAAAGATTCTGCCTTCACACACCATCGTGCAGTTGATGCTGAGGGCGCGGGTAGAAGGTGTGACTGCCATAGCGCTCGTGGGCTGCCTGGGCGATTTGCGGCAGGCCCTGGAGGTGGTGAGTGGCCCTGCGGGCAGGTGGGATGGGAGGTGGGGGGCGGGGCAGGGGGTGGAGCGGGGGCGGGGCCAGTTTTTGGTCACTCAGTCTCTAAAAGGTTCGCCATCACTGACCTATCTGAAATGCAGAAGAATTCTTGTATGCAAAGATGGTGCTAAAGATTGTCATATGGTTTTACACCATCTTGGCTTCCAACGTACTGTATTTAAATGTAGAATCTAAAATATTAATTAAAGGCAGGTGGGGCAGGAAGACCAGCAGGTGTGAATGGAGATGACTATGGACATCTTGGTAACCTAGGTGCCACATACCACCTACCTATACTATCCCTTAATTTTTGTTCATTAAGAATGGTTTAGCTAACATAATGTTGCTTTTTGTCTCCGAGATCCTTGACAATAATTCCATCCTGACTGTCAGGGGTTATAAACACAGACTTGGAGGAAACATTATTAAGCAAGAAATGGAAATCTTTGATAGATCCCAGGCCAAGCTGCCTTACCCTCCAACTGGCCGAATCCCAAATGCCCTGCTTGATAAAAAAAATCCTGCAGGGGGATTTTTAAAATTTGGTTTATGCTTATATATAACATGGTATATATGGCGTAAACCAATATTAGAAATAAAACAGACTAATCAATACAAGAAAGGTTCTAATGCCAGTGCAATCATAATGTAATCCTGTATTTAATGAGAAAGTAAGTTCTTCCAACTTCATCAAGATTCTGTGAAAAGAACCACAACGAAAGCCCATTCTAAACTTCAAGAGATTGGATTCCAGATCCAGTTCAAGGGTTGTTTTTTTTTTTTTCCTGGAAGGCAGAAGCTGGAATTTGAGAGAGGTTTTGCTTTCAAGCACTTACCTGTCCAATTGGATTTCATCTGCATCCATGATGTTGTGTAGAATCTGCTCCACTGGAACTTCCCCAGCATAGCCAGCACCCCAGCCAAGGGTATTTGATAGGTCATTACCTGTGCCCAGGGGTAAAATTGCAACCCGAGGGACAGACCTTTCTTGTCCCTGTGATATAGAAGCATTAATTTGGGGTTAAGAGTTGATATTTTATATGCCTGGCTGCCTAACATCTTTGATTCTCGAAATTTCAGACACAGCTTAAATGCCACTAATTGCAATTCTGCTTCAAGGATTCTTCCTAAACTGCACAGCTGGGCTTCTGAAAAAAAAACCAACCAGAATACTATATAATAATATTTGCAAAGCCTGGTGAGGCTTCAGTCTAAGGAGGAACTGAAAAAGAAATTCATATCAATATATGATTTATTTATTTATTTGACTTTTATCCCATCTTTTATACTTTGTAAGTAACTCAAGGTGGCAAACATACCTAGTACTCCTTTCTCCTCCTATTTTTCCCACAACAGTTTCAGGTTGGGCTGAAAAAAAGTGACAGGCTGAAAGTCATTTAAGCTTTTTGAGCCTAAGGCAGGACTAGGATTCACAGTTTCCTGATTTTTAGGCCAGCATCTTAGCCATTAGACTAAACTGGCTCTTAGAAGTAGCCCTTTTGCATTCATATTTGCATTAGGGACAAAGGATTTTCATGGCTGAACATATTACTTGGGGGGGGGGGAACCCATGCTGTTGTCTCCATTCTGGGGGAGTGATGGATCTGCAGTTAAAGACATTGAACTTGTTAGCTGGAAAGCTAATAGCCCGGGTTCAAGACCTGAGAGCCACACAATAGTGTGAGCGCCCAGCTCCTGCCCACCTAGCAGTTCAAAAGCATGCAAATGAGAGTAGATTAATAGGTACCACTTCGGTGGGAAGGTAGCAGCATGCCGTCTGCCTTTGGTTATAGTCATTCTGGATTTATGACCACGGAAAATGTCTTCAGACAACGTTGGCTCCCTCAGTCAAGAAACAGAGATGAGCACTGCACTCTAGAGTCAGAGATGACTGGACAGGGAAATCTTTACCTTTATACTCCATTTTAATTTTCAGGAAATTAGCAAACTTTTCTGAGCTACCATTTTAAAAAATTGTGTGACAGAGAAAAGAGGACAGAACATCTTATAGAAAAAGTATGCTTCAAAACACACATTTCAGTCATAGAAATGACTGAAAAATGATCTGGGGGAGGAGGGGAATGGATTTTTATGATAAAACTATTATATTGCTGCATTATCCTGACAATATTGTACTGGAAGAGATGCAATGAGTTGGCAAGTAAGGAAATTTGTGGATAACAACAAAAAGGGGTTGCTAAGATATTCTGAAACACCATAACTTTATTTTATTTTTTTTGAGCTAATACCAGAACTCTTTTTGCTGGTTATCATTAAAGACAGATATAATAAAGGATCCTTATTCCTATTATTACACATGCTAACAACAGCAAGATTAGTCTTTGCACAGAGATGGAAAGACAGTGAGACACCCTCAGAAGAAGAGGTAATAAATAAGATTTTATCCTGTGCTAAAATGGATAGGTTGACGTTAGAACTTAAGGATAAGAATGAAACAGATACTACAAAATCTGGAACAAATTGTATGATTGATTGGGGAAAAATAGAGGGGAAAACGCTCCGATTCAGCGAAACACATTGATCAAGCATGATACTGATTAAAGGGAAAATATTTAAATATTAAAGTGAAAATTAAGAATATTGATGACAGGAACTATCAGAGAGAATATCTATGGGGGGAAAAAAAGAAAAAAAACATTTGTGTGAATACGTGGATTATGGATTATAGATATTAATTGTTGACGATTTTCCTTTGTAAATGTAAGCCAGGCAAACACACTGTTAATCAACTATTATGTGATTTATGTTTTAAAAACCAATAAAGTTTATTAAAAAAAACACATACTTTTATTTTCATGCCATCAATTGCATCCAGGACCCAACCCACCGTGCCATCTCCACCACAAACAAGGACTCTGGCAGAATTGTTAGGTAGCCAGGTGCAAAGCTGGAGTGCTTTTGCTGGAGTTACTTTGGTTAGTTCAAATACCTAAAAATACATTTTTAAAAATATTTATTCATGTGTCATTGTAGGAGGCATTTTTTTCACAGATTAAATAATATTTCTACAAATACAGGTTCTGATATATATAATCTAGTTTAGTCTAGTCTAACTAACCTATTCAATTTAAACAGTGTCCATCTCACCACCCAAGCGACTCTGGACACAAGCCATAAAGCCATAAAAACAGACATAATTAGAGACAGAATTAAAAAGAAGGAAGAATAAAATAAGAACAGGGTTAAAAGAGAAATTAAAAAGTGGAGGGTGGATTTTCAAGCCACCAACCACCTCCAGGGTTGTGTGCCACTCTTTGATCCCCACAACACTTGGCAGAAGGCAAGAATGGGAGCCAGCTTCACCTCTGGGGACAAGATATTCCATTAAGTTAAATGAGGTCTATTCATCTAAGCCAGGGGCAGGCAGCGTTGGCTCTTTTATGACTTGTGGACTTCAACTCCCAGAATTCCTGAGCCAGCCATGCTGAGGGGAAAGGGAGAGGTTTCCAAGCTGAGCCATGCCGGGGGAGGAATTCTGGGGAGGGGGGGAGGGTTGAAGTCCACCAGTCATAAAAGAGCCAAAGTTGCCTACCCCTAATCTAAGTCATGGCCTATGATCTTAAAAATGACAGAGGAAAATTATTATTTTTGTTCTATGGATTATTGGAACATATTCACTGCAGAGGTAATTCTAAGAATCTGAAATCATTTAAGTATGTTTTTTCAGGTTCTGTGGAACAAGAAACTGAAGGAATAGCAAATTTTTATCATAGCACTGCATGACAGCTCCCAGTTGAATTCAGATAATTCACAGAGGAAGAAACTTTCCAATGGTAAGTTGAAGATCTTAGCAAAGGTTTAAAATATATAGCAAACCATGGAAGGGACAAGAAAAGCACACTTGTTTCTTTTCTTTTTAAAATATTCAAGAAAGTATTCAAGAAAAAAATGGTAAAAGTTGTGATTTAAAAATAAAAATTTAAGGAGTAAGGGTCTTTCTACATTATTATAGAGTGTACTGCAAGTACACTCTAATTATTCTGCAGTATTCATTAAATTTTCACCATCAATGGCATGTTATCTAAGTGGGGAATATTGAAAGAAAGTGCTATACAATCCTTTTGTAAGGAAGAGATTTGCCATTTTGTGCCATTTTTAAATCTTGTGAGCAACAGGGCTGGTCACAATGTAGTCTCTAAAACAATTGGGAAAACATTTTTCAAATGATATGGCGTATTTGCAGTGTGTCATTGTACCGTACATATAAAATGATAGCTAATGGTCACTATATTCATTTAGAACATTTATCTGTCTGCGGAATTCATCCTCAGTGACTCCAGGCAGCTTACAGAAATAAAACTCCAAACACAAAACCCAACATAACCCTAGCCCAGGGGTAGGCAACCTTGGCTCTTTTATGACTTGTGGACTTCAACTCCCAGAATTCCTGAGCCAGTATGGCTCAGCTTGGAAACCTTTCCCTTTCTCCTCAGCATGCCTGGCTCAGGAATTCTGGGAGCTGAAGTCCACAAGTTATAAAAGGGCCCAGTTTAAAGACCCCTGGGGTAGACAGACCAGTGGGATCAGGATTGGGCAGCAGATAGCTAAGGGAGGGAGAACGAAAGAAAGGAAGGTAGGTGGGCAGATGGCTGGCTGGGCACATTATAGACTGGCTGAGGAGTTCTGGGAGTTGAAGTCCACATATCTTAAAGTTGTCAAAGTTGACAAAACCTGCTGTACAGTATCATGCTCATTTCTATACTGCAATGTTATGCATGTTTCTTCAGTTGAATCCATCTTGACCACAGTGATAAAATTCCTTAGGGAGTTTTCAAGTTTCTAACCCTATTTTTTTTTAAAAAAATAAAAGAAAACAATGATGATGTCTTAAGTTATGTTTGATTTCTTACTTAAGCAATAAACCTAGCTCATCTTCAGTTTCATTGTATCAGTACAATTACCTGAATTGGATTTAATAAGATCTTGAATTGCCCTATCAGGGTTTCCCCCATATTGTTTCCACTCCGAGTATTAACCAGAATTATTACTGGGGTCCAATTTTTCCCATAAGACTCAGATAGCTGCAAAAAAAAAAGAAAAAAGAAAAAGAAAAAAAAGGCAGAAGAAAGATATTTAGATGTATATGTGTATTGTCATGAAACAAAACAGCACCACTCTCTTATTTTTCCTTCATGTTGAGAAATTAGCTCTTAAATTGTAAAAGAGAAAGTGTACCCTTGCAAATTACTTAAAAATAAATTGCTTTACAATTTGTAGGAAATACCAATTTTCCTGTTCAATGTAAGACTAAAGCATGATTCACATATATGATTTATTCTGAAAGGTTTTCATATGATTGCCATTTTGAAACAGTCATCAGAAGCTATGGCTTGTTAGAACTCAAATATATAATAAATCCTTTCTATGCACTCAGTGGTTATATTTGTCATGGTAATGCTTAATATACAGGTAAAGAAAAATTAATACCCACAAGATAAGTTGCAAAATTGATCTGGATAAGTCTCTTAAATCACAAGCAAGCTAACATATGTGCCATTTGCACAGAGATTAAAATATAAGCTAGAACTTGTTCAAGCAGCCAAGTGGGTACCTTAAAAGCTGGCCTTTCGTTGATAGAACCATAGTAAAATCAACTTCTGCCATTTTTTTCCAATTAACAAGTGGTAACATTTATTTTGTTCCTTGACCTTACTATAGGATGAATTTATACTTCCCAGTCATTCCAGGAGTAGCTGAGTAAAGTTATAACCTGCATTTTACTGTCTTTTATTGGGGCACTACGGTAGCTGCCACATACCTGTATCAGAGGGATGTTTTAGTACACTATTAACCAATTATTAATTATTAACAAGTGTCCCCAGATTTCACAATGCCATGACCCTCTGCAATGACTGATGAACCCTCTCTCATAAATAAGACTCATGACCTCCTGGATGTTATGAATGGGCAAGAAATTGATATACCACTTTATAAAAGATGTATAATTTCCACAATGCTTTCTTAAGCTACTAGAATTATGAACAGAAATACTGAACTTTATTAATATATACACTCCTATAGGCATGACTAAGACTTGAGAACCGCTGGTCTAGTCCTTCCTAAAGCATCCCTGGGTATATCATCATTAAGAAAATGTCTGTCTTTCTCCGCCCAAGCAGACCTCAAGTAGGAACTGAATTCTGCTCTGGTTCTCATTTACATGCCTCATCCATTCTGTAATTGCAGTTCTGAAGTGGACCTTGAAAACTCTGGGGCTGAGGGCTGGGATCAATCAACAGTTTTCCGAGTACTCCTTCTATTGTCCAAGGTTAATAATTTTTTTATCAAACTGCCTTATATAGAAAAAGGTTATGGGAATAGTAATTAATCAATTGAGAGTCTCATGTTTAAACTGATAAATTAGCTTTTCTCCACCCCCTTTTGCAGTGTGGCCTGCAGTGGACAATCAAAGATTTATGAATTCCTTAGTTTAGAGAGTCTTAGTCATGCCTATAGGCATGACTTAAGACTTCCTGTGCTATGCCCAAGGTTACCAGTTTATAGGAAACCATCCACCAATCATTGGTTCCCCTGACAGAGGAGTTAGCTCTCTCAAAAATTGTTTTGGGAAGGAATGAGTTTCCTTCTCTAGTATAACTCATTTAAGTTATACTGGAGAGGGAAACTCATTCCTTCCCAAATAAGGAATTCAATGCTTAAATTCAGTGTTGAAGGCTGTAATTCCATACCCACTTATTTGGGAATAAACCTCACTGAACTCAGTGGTTTCCAACTATATGGGCAAGTGAATGTGCTAGAAGTCATGATGAATGGGTGGTGGAATTGCCAATCAAACATAACAATGCAGAGGAGCTCTCTTCCCTGTTTATATTCCAAAGAAAGGAGGGGACTGTGAAAAGTTAAGACTGAAGATACAGAGGTGGAAGGAGAGGTTTGAAGGAGCCTCAGGATTCTAGCCTAGGAGATCCTCCACCTATCAGAGGCAGAGTAAAGAAAAATACAGGTAGTCCTCGACTTACAATAGTTCATTTAGTTGACTGTTCAAAATTACAACAACCCTGAAAAAAATGACTTATGAGCATTTTTCACACTTGTGATCGTTGCAACATCCCCTTGGTCATGTGATTTACATTCCAATGTTTGACAGCTGGTTCATATTTATGACGGTTGCAGTGACTCGGGGCCACGTGATCACCTTTTGTGACCTTCTGACAAGCAAAGTCAATGGGAAAGCCAGATTCACTTAACAACAGTATTACTCATTTAACAACTGCAGTGATTCACTTAACAACTGTGGTAAGAAAGGTTGTAAAATGGGGCAAAACTCACTTAGCAAATTTCTCACTTGGCAACATAAATTTTGGGCTCAATTGTGGTTGTAAGTTGAGGACTACCTGTACAGTATTTTGTTCTAGGGAAGCTAAATATTGATACACTATGGATCCACTATATTATTAAGAAAAGCATTTTATAATTCATTTAATAAAAGTTATTTAATAAAAGTTAATTTGTTTCTTCCTTTCAATGTTAATAAAGTGACTGTGCTGACCTATATCTTCCTCACATTTTTTCCTAGTCACATTACCACAGCGGAATAAAAAGTAGAAAAAAAAGAAAAGAAAAGAATTGTAAATCAGAAAAGAGTTTGGAGGTAATATCAAGACAAATCAATTATTTTTGAGATCTCCCAAATTTAATGGGATTTTGTTTTAGTCTGGAAAAACAAACAGATGGGAAGGATACCGTATTTTTCTGTGTATAAGACGGTATTTTTTCCTGCAAACACCTTGTTCAAAAATCATATGCGTCTTATACACGGAAAAGTAATGGTAACCTCCGCAGCCCGGGGCATGCCTATGTGGGTTCTTTACATGCCGCTGCCATGCTGCCTGGTGCAGGTATCAAGCCCCTGTGGGCTTCCCACTAACGAGAGGGGGGAGGGGGCAAGATCGTCGGATGGCGGCGTCCAGAGGCAGCGGATGTGACTAGCAGCATGGATGGCAGCGACAGCCCTTTCCCTTCCTTGTACTTGTATGCTGGCTGGGGACACCCTATGGAACGCAGCTGCGAGGCCTTCCTGCTTGATAATAGTGGCCGGCCGAACTTCCGGATTTGCCGGCTCAGCTGTTCGGCACTCCACCAAACAGCTGATTGATGTGGAAAAATGGCGGGGAGTTTAAAACCTGCTTTCACTTCCCTTGCTTTGCTGTCATGCCGGTGCTCATGCCGGTTTGTTTACCAGCATCAGAAGGCGGCTGCTGTGAACTGACTATGCATGCACATGCGGGATGCTGGTTAGGTGGGTGGGGCTGGTTGGGAGGCATCTAGCTACAGCGCTGGGAGGCGGTTGCTCCCAACGTTGACTTGTTTGCTGTAAGTTTGGAACTCACATGCCAGAGCATCTTATACAAGGGTGTGTCTTATACGCGGAAAAATACGGTACCCACAACAGAGTGGTACAAATTAGAAGCGAATGTCCTTCTTAATAAAGCAGTCCCACCAATACAACACACATAGCTGAAGAGTCACCTAATTTACCTGCTCTATAACTACATAAATTATATATTAACCTAATCTTCAAATGAAACATTTAAAAAGCACAGTTAAGACATATATGTTCAATAGAGCAAGCCAGTCTATAAAACAAACTATTTTATAGTATGGATAATTAAAGCAGCTTTCACTATCATAAAGATAATGCTTTGTGAACTTTTCTGGAGAAGTTATTTCATACTAAGTTGCCAACAAGCCCTTTATGTAAGTTATAGATTGCACTGATGCAAGGGGGGCAGTACCTGCCTTCTTTCTTCCAATTTCTCTTCTTTTATTATTTTTCTCAGTGAACTATAGAATTAATCCAATACATGTATCCTATTTCTCCTCTTTGTTTTGGTCTGACCCAGCTCACACAGCCCACTCAGTCAATGATTCTGATCTCCTGGAAACAGGTATCCCCAGCTGGGTCTTGAGAACAAACACAGTAACACTTACCTTGTAGTCATTCATGTGTTTACTTTTACGCATCTGAGAGATTTTGAGCAAGTAAGTTGGGGGTATAATGAGGTTGTGAAACTCTCCCAATTCACACTTCCCATTCTTCAAAGAATTCTGCATACAATCATCATGTACAGTTTGCTGGCACCAAATACACCTGAAAGAACAGTCACAACAACAGTCACAACAAAGAAAGACTGGTTTCATTCCCACATATTATTATCGGACAATTACGGAAACAATATCACTTTTGAGGGACTTAACAAAAAATGGTACGATCACTCAACTACTGAAATAAAGCACATTAACTCTTTCCTTATTAGTTTCAGAAGGATGAAAATAAATCTCTCTTCCATCTATTCTCATTTTCCACAAGCTTTGCATTATTGCCAACGTTGTTTCAGTGTTCTTCTGTGAGTGGCAAATGTAAAGTTTTGTGAAAATACTTAGGAGACTAGGAAAAGATCATTGAATCAATAAAAGGAATTTTTAGATGTATCATTTTATGTAACCAAATAAAGTACTCTGAGTTTAACACAGCCAAGCCCAAGCATTAGTACCATATAGCAGAAAAGAAACATAAAGAAAGGACTTTGCCAACAGCTTGTTTTGCCCAGCAAAAGGAAAAGGAAGTAAAAAGAAACTTGTCTTAAAACAAAACAAAAAAGTGATTGGTACCATCACTACAGACCCAATTTAGAAAAAAAAGCATTAAAAGTCCAAGAGAAATAATTCCTATAAGCAGCCTCAATACCCTCCTCTTGCTTGCCTATATTCCACTCTCCTTGCCCTTGGATCTAGTGGAACAGGTGGCTGTTACTCGTCAGAGATTGGCTGCCTATCAGCACCACTGCTGGTCATTAGCCGATCCTCCCTGTGTCTGTGCAGGCAGGCAGCTCTCCCTCTGGTTGACCACCTCCCCCAATGCCTGAGGGGCCTGGGACAGCATCGTCCTCAGCCCCTGGTGTGCCTTTCCTGTTGGATCATCCCAACTCCAACTCTTCCTCCTCCTCCTCCTCCTCTGAACCAGCCTCTGAGGGGGCCATGAAATTAACTTCCTGATCCATATCTAATACCCTAACCCAGCGATGGAGAACCTTTTAGAGACCAAGTGCCCAAACTACAACCCAAAACCCACTTATGTATTGTTGGGTGCCGGGTGGGTGTGACCAATTGGGTGGGCGTGGCCCTTTGGGTGGGCATGGCTTCGATGGTAACGGTGGACTGGGCGGGACTAAAAAGTTCAATCAATCAATTCCAATTTTGCGAGATCTTTTTTTTTCCTGTGAGAAGTTAAAATTGATTGACTGAACTTTTTTTTTTACACATGGCGGCGGAGGCCTAAAGCAAAAAGGTTTTATAAACCATGCTGAAGGCCTAGGACTGGGGCGACGGTGCACGTGCCTATAGAGAGGGCTCTGTGTGCCACCTGTGGCACACGTGCCATAGGTTCGCCATCACGGCCCTAACCAATATACTAGACTACGTGGGGAAATATACTATAGATTGTCCTTGACTTACTATTCAAAGTTATGACTGACCCAGAAAAGGGTCCCAGATCTGAGATTCCAATGGCTGCCCCTGGTCACATGACCATACTTCAGGCACTCAACAACACGGCCACAATTATGGCTATTTGCAGTGACTTGTGGTCATGTGGTTGTGTTTTATGATGGTTTTGCCAAAATCTCTATGTTGCATGATAACTTTTAATGATAATTTTTAAATTGTAGTCCCTGTTAATTTGTAATGGAATTATTTAAAATCTCATTTAGAAATCACTTTCAATAGGCAAATATCTGGTGGCAGAAAAGTGACATATAAATACTGACAAGGATTAACGAAGTCAGTAGGACTGGGCAATCCTTCAGATTTGATTTGGAAGAGGCGGCTTAGAATGCACAGGACCAGGAATGTTGCACCTCTCTATTTTTCATTAAAGCAGCCACATCTGATTTCAAGAACAGCTAGCAGTAGCCTATTCAATGAGTCTCAGACAGGAATAGCATTCCTATTCCTGCAAGCTCCAAAATATCTCTTCTGAAATAAACTGGAGACATTTTATGGCCCAAGGAAAGTAAAACAGTCTAATAAAAGTCAAAAGAATGATAGATAATATTGAACATACAAACAGCAGTATTAAAAATATAGCAATTAACTGTGCAATTGGTTTTGTTTTTAAATTCTTTTTACAGGTTCTCAATCCCTATAGAGCAGGGGTGTCAAACTGCCGGCCCGCAGGTCAGTTGCATCATATGGAGGCCACGCCCACCCCAGCTCTGGCAATCCCAAAAAGTCACAATACGTCGTGACACGTCACGTGACATGGTGAGTTTGACACCTGTGCTATAAAGTACCGAATGATATTAATCAGGCTTATACGTATGAAATCATTCAACAATTGCAGATATTTTGCAACTAAACTGAAAATCTCAGAATTTATTTATGTAAGGAGAAGTTTCTATAACTCCCCCCTCCTCCACAGAAATATGGTTCCTCCCTGCAGGGTTGAATAATGAGCTAAAGTGCTAAACCACATCCATTTGGTGTTATTTTGAAAAAAAAATGGATGCAGTTTTGTCTTTAAAAAAGATTAATACGGATAATCAACCATCAAAGGAGGACAAAAGGGCTTAAGTTAAGAGTTGGCAGAAGATAGTTTTCATCAGCCAACACAATACAGATGCCCAAATTCCGCACAAAAATAACATAAATGAATTAGTAGGGGGATAAAATAAATTTATTAAAATACAGATCAGTTCTGCTGTGCATTCACAGAGAGAAGAACTGGTATATTGTTGAAAAAGAATATCTTTCATGTTCCATTATGGCACTGTATGTAATTTTAGTTTTTTAAAAGCTTCATGATCAGACTATGGAAAAACAGTCCTCAGTTATACCAAGTAAGAAAAAAACACAATATAGACATCAACCATTATATTCTCCGGTCCTTTCAAGTGAAGAAGAGTTACAGAAGCCTCCTATCAACCTATTGTTCTTCAGGGATATTGTGACTACAACATCCAGAATTCCCAGCAAGCATTGATGATGTCTGTTAATTCTGGTCTTGGTTCTTAATGAAATACAAGAGAAATTTATAAATAAAACACAATGCAGTTGCAATACATGCGAAGGGTGCCAAGTTTAGGAAGACTGAGCTGTAGTGTAAAACAAGTAGTGAGTGAAAAGGTGTATAAAAGTACCTGCCTGTGAAGATCATTCCAGCTGTTTTACATACAAAGTGGTAGTCACAGAGTAGCATGCTAAATTTTAAAATTAATATATTCAAAGAACAAACAGGTTTCCTGTTTCCTTTTTTGGAATGCAAAAAGCTTTCTTATTGATTGTACTTAACCTACTACATTCTTTTCATTCGTTTTTCAAATGTGAATATCTACAAAATATGGTAAGAAAATAAAAGGAAATTTTTATCCAGCAAGACTTGAGATGCTATTTACAAAACCAAACCAAATGGTTTTTGCCCTCAGAATCATCTCCAGGAAATGTTAAGAGTGGGACTCAACAACTTGTGGCTCTTTTTCTACCAGGATTTTTGCAAATTAGAACAGCACTGTAGTTAGCCTAAAGCTTGTTTCCAGCGAAAACCTTGCTAAACCTAGAGCAGAGGTCAAACTGCCGCCCCGCGGGCCAGATGCGTCATGCTGAAACTGCACCCAACCCATTGCCGGCAATGGAAAAAAAGTCACGATACGTCACGTGACGTTGCGTGTTTGACACCCCTGACCTAGAGCACCATCAGAGTTAGCTTTGGCAAAACCCTATCCTATTCTTGAGCCCTAGAAATTGCAAGCTGAGAAGCATTCATAATTCAATTCTATCAAAAGAATATGCAAAAATCTTTCCAACCAAAAGATGCCATCCATAATTAAAAGGCAACACTTTAAACAAATTATAATCAGTGGCTTGTATAAAATGCAACGTAATAATCAAGCCCCAGAAATTTAAAGAGGATAAATAAGGAACACATACATCACTATGTTATTTCCTCTACCACTCCCCTGGTACTTAAATCTGCAGCATTACCTGTAATCACAGAGCTTGGGTTGTGTACCACATTGTAGTTTGCACACCACACAGTAGCTACACAGTGGAACATTGCCTCGGATCCAATGGTGCACCATAGAAGCCGGTCTCCCATCTTGGCATCTTGTCACAATTTCCTTGCATAGGAAAAGACCATCAGCTTTCTTCAGGCATTCTTCATCAACACACACCCCACAGCAGTTGCAGAAAGCTCCCTGGAGAATATGCTGGGTGCAGACACAGCAATAGGTAGGCTGGCTAAAGAAGTCTATATCTTGCCAATCATGCTTGCTTTTATGCAAGATATCCTGCAGAAGTCCTTGCCTCCGAGATCGCCGAAAACTGCACCACAAGGTGATCATGACTGGTACCATCACTGAGCACAGAGTCCAGAAGGCCAAACTCCATTCTGGAAGCCATCCTGAAGATGATTTAGATCTGCTTTCAGCCTCTCCCATCTTCTATTGATTTACTGTCACTCTAGATAATTAATTCAATCATGTAAGATAACACTAACTTGTAGGCCTAAAGAAATCATCTTTGCTATTATTATGGTACATTAATTGGCCCAGTATAAAAATTATCATGTGTTCATTTCAATTATCTTAATTATTCTAGCACTGTATATCAATAGTTTTTCCTTAAGTCAGATGAGTCCTTTATCCTCAAAAAAATTGCTAGCCTCTTTAGATAATTTACTCCTTTGTCCACACTTTATTTCATAATGTGAATTTATTCTTCACAGTGACAATGGTATTCACTTATCTGCTATAGCCAATGTGCTCCCCATTTTAGTAAATAAACAAATACTAGGCCAATCTCCAACTCAAGCTGCAACCACCTCAGCTAAAAAAAAAACCCACATTTTTCTCCTTGCTTTTAACAATGCTATCTTGTTTCGATCCCTCTTTGTTCAACACAAAGCTAGCAGGTTTCTTATTCCTGACATCGAAGACCAATTATTGTTAAGGCAGTTCCATTATACCCACACATACTCACAACTGGGATAAAACAAAGCTTGATTTCCCTCTCATTTCCAATGTCAGTCTGTGCATCACGAGTCAGTTGCAGCAGCTCCAGAGCAAGTCATCTGAAACAGAGAAAAAAATGAAGAAAACCTCTTTTAAAACTACTGTCACTTTCATTCATTCAACCGGTGTTCCTCCCACTATCTACCCATTGCTGCTGCTTCAGCCTAAAACCAGAGTGTCTAGGAAAGGAGATTGCTAAACCAATTGGGATTTTTAACCTCTCCTTTATAACAAGCGTCCTCAGCAACACACTGGGAGGCAGTTTACCCTGCTCGTCGTAGGATTGATTCTATTCTTAATAGTATACTGGAAGACAGAGCCAAGGATCCCACCCACTGCCGAAGATTATGGAAGTTGTAGTCTAGCTAGCTTATAAAAAGAGCGGGGAAGGCTGTTTCAAGGAGCTGCAATTACTCCTGGGACATCCTCTTTCCATCTCTCCCTCCTCCCCGCCCCAATCTCGCCTACCTGGTGCCGGCAGAGAAACAACAGCATTCATCCGGCAAAGAAACAGGCGACAGCGGCGGAAACGGAAGAGGCGGGAGCCAGAGGTCGCTCAACCGGAGAGGGGAGAGGAGGAGGATCGAAAGGGAGGGAGGGTGCTGATGTCGGTTGCTAGGAGACGAGTCAGCTACTCACCAAAAGCTCTAGAATGATACAAGATGCTGGGGAGGAGAATTACAGGATTGGAAGAACAATGATGGGCGGGGAGAAATCCTTGCTTGCTCAGGAATAAGCTGTGGAGATTAATTGGGGCATTCATCCCTTGGCTTATTTACAAGCAGGTTTGCTTGAGGTTGCTGTTTTCTATTTCTGTTGCCTTCCGGTCACATTTCCTGCCATCGTTTTCAATAATCCCCGGCTTAGGGCAAATCAAACTTTTACAGCTAATATTCAGACATAGCTATTTTTTTTTAAAAAAAGTTTTGCTTCCTTTTAGACTTGAGGGCACAGGATGGTGGCTGAAACGTTGCGTTGCATACATTAAGAATTTGCTTTTTACAAATGGGACACGGCTGTATTACTGAGTATGGTGCAGGCCAACTGGTGAAAGGGAGTGAGCGCATCCAATGGTCTATATGATACTGACATGTTATTTAATGTGCTGTGTGTATCCAGTCACACAGTGTATTTATCTGCACCCATTCAGAAGAAGTAATAATTTTGTCCTTTGCTTTAATCTACCTTACAAAGGAGTATAGCCATAAGCTGTTCTTAAGAGAAGCAGAAACAATGGGGTGTGGTGCTTTTTGTTTTTAAGGAAGCACCATAGATTAAGCCTATGAATGAAGTCACATACTTAATTCTAAGAATACAGGATAAGGCTTGGTTGTCAGAGAGGGTGTTTATGTTCATCCTTCATTTTATTCTTGCTTCTGTTCTATTTTCATACTTTTTCCTTAAGAATAGCCAGAAATAGAAGTAACTACTGCTAAATGGCACCAGCATCTTTCCATCAGCAGTTCTCTGGATCCAAGCCATTAACAATATCTCTGACAATAGCAAGTGTCTTTGTAAAATGATTTAGCAAACCTCTACAGCAACAAAAGGTATAACATATGTTTATGATCATAGTAAGTGACAGCGATGGAAATTGTAAAAAGATACATAGCGTCTTCTGTAAGAGCTTTAAGAAGACTTTCTTGTTCCCATTCTATTAAAGTGTAGTGTACTGCCTTTCGTGTATAAGATAATTGGAGTAGTTGGGTCAGAACAAAAGGGAGAATTCAACACAGGACTATCATTTTCAACAGCAGACCCATGTTTTTTTTATAGAAAGTCACCATGTCTTACTCTCCCAAAGATTTATGCCATACTGTATTTGCACAAGCTACTTTGAAATGGTATATGAGAACAAACCTAATCTCTTATTTATGAATGCTCTACTTTTTAAAAGGATTGCTTATCTAATAGTGCATCTGATCAATGAAATGGATAAACTTGTTTCAAAATGGTTATCTTCCAATCATGCTTCATTTTTCATGGTGCTTTAGATGATGGCTCGACTAAACTTTCTGTGTAACATTTAATCCCCAAGCCAATTTTACTTTTGTTTTCATCCCAAATGCTAAGATGTATGGTCTCTTTCTGACCAGGAATTTAATTTTAAAAAGCTAGCATGACACAGCAACTAAAGTGCTGCTGGCTAAAATAGGAAAAAGTTGGTGTTGGATCTTTTTAATCTGTGAAGTCTGATTGTTAAGCGGATCCTCCATTGTGAACCCATTGCAATTCTATTCTACTGAAGGCCTTGATGTCATAAAAGCTAAGGTGACCAACCGTCCTCCTTTAGGGAGGACAATCCTCCTTTTGTAAGTTCTGTCTTCCCTTGAAAAGTGTCCTCCTACATGTCCTCCTTTTTGATATTTGAAGACTAATCTGCAGGGGTTTTTTTTCCTCATAGAACGCTCAGAACGGTGTTTCGGCACCTTTTTTTGATGTTTTTTTTTCAACTTTTACATGAGCTGCGCTACTCCCCCTATTGGCGCACTAAAACACCCGGCCGGCAAACTTTGCACATGCAAGTTGTCTGCAGTGAAGGTGAATTGGCAGGAACTTAGCACCCCTCCTGCTACCCAATTACACCATCTCCTAGTTAGTTCCGAAGATACCTGGAGGAGACTGGAGTGATAAGTTTCTCTTGATCTTCGGCTCTGCTAGGGCAATAATGGCTGTGGGCGCAAGAGGCAGGGGCAGTGGGGATGCTGCGGGTGAGGGTGTGAGGGGCGGCAGCAGCCGGCTGCCCCCCGTGCTGTGGGAGCGCGGGGCCCTCTTTACACGGGACTGTGCAGGGTGGGCGGTGGTTCTGGCAGGGTGGCTGCAGGCGGGGTGTGTCAATGGTGGGCTGCCCCCGCCGGAGCCGGCGCGGCTGGTGCTTTGGGAGCCGCGGGGCCCGCTCTACACAGCAGGGCAGCGGTGCTGGCAGGGCAGCTGCGGGTGGGGGCACGGCGGATGGTTGACCTTCCATGGACCGAGCCAGCTTTTACAATATTTTTTTCTTCTATTTATTTGTCTCCTCCTTTTCATTGTAAAAAAGTTGGTCACCTTATAAAAGCATAATTCTATGCATTAAGGGAAGCCATTTTGCAAAGTGCCACAGTTGTTTAACTAAGGAGAGGCTGAGGTTTTGAGACCATATACCAGCTTCATCCACGACCTTCAGCTCTTTTTGGTTAGTGCAAATAACAAGTCCATACAAAACTATCCTCCCTTTGACAGGTGTTTTGATTCTGATTGTATTGGGTCTAAGCAGACATTTATCTAAGACATTTAGTGATCATAAAAAGAAACCATCTACTTCTAGTCAGATGTTACTACAAGGATATAAAAACTTCTTAAGGAAAAAAAAAAGGCAACATTGAGACCTGGCATTCTGAGGTAGGGAAACTCAGAAACATCTCTTTTTTTGCAACTTGTAGCTATTTGGCCAGCTACAGGCCTGCCTTGACTATCGTAATGTGTATTTGCTGACAAATGGGAAAATTATTGTCATGAGCTCTGTGGCTCATTGGATACCTTCTGCAAGATTGAAAGCACAATTTGAAGAGTCAAGGCATGACTTAGTCCAGTATATTGAACACTGTGTGGCTACTTTTCTTCTACATATTTAATTTTGATCAGAGACTTTAATGCTAGGATAGAGCTTGATGACAATTCACTTCATGCTCGGTTCAACAGTTTCTCTCTTGACCTTGAAGATTTATCCAGATTACAAGTTTTTTTTTGTAAATCTCTTGTAAATCTAGGAATTTTGTGAGTAATTTTGCAGGATTGCCTAATACATTGGATGTAATTATTTTAAATGGGGCATTTTGAAAAGGATGTTCCCAGCCCCTTTACCTTCCAGTCTGTGTAAAGATTTTCCAATATTGTTTATATTTTAATATCAAATAATTTGGTTCCTAATATCCCCTATTTTGTGAGGTACCTAGAACAAACGGATAATTTACCCCTTCTTTCCTGCAACAACTTTAATTTTGTTTGTTATAAATCTGCTAGACCTCAGTATGTTCCAGCTGAGGAAACCGGCCAATCCAGAGTTAATTGGAGGCCACCTTAGTTGTATAATCATTATCTGGTTTAATTTCCCAGTTGGCATTCATTTCAGTAAATTTCTTCAGAAACCTTGCTTTCAACCTCTCGCTATGTCCCTAACCAAACTCAGGAGACCTACACATCTCACACATTTACATTACAATCTATAATAGTAATATCTATAGAAACAATAGGACTATTCATAAATGTTTTCCTAACCTTGCTGCGATTCTAATTGTGTAGCTGCTAAGAGGACGCTGATCTCATTATTTATGTTATAAACCCTCTCAAAACCTTATAGAATTGAAAATAAATATTGAAAAGTTCTGAAAAGGAAGAAATGTGCTGCCTTTCTAATCTCCTGACACCAACTGATTGAAGCAGCCGGTTATAGGAATCCTACTCTCTTCCGGCATATACCTGCTGCTCAGACCATTTATGCTGACGGGAGATACATTTTTCCAGTCTTTATGAAATTCAGATACTTAACCCTTTTTACTATCTTTAGCAGCTGATTCTTTGCAGCAATGATCACCAAATAGATAATGTTTGACCACAGGTAAGGTAAAGTAGTAAAAAGTGCAAGAAAAAAAGAATAAGAAATAAAGAATAAAGAGAAAAGAAATATATAGAAGTGACTTCCAACTTTCATCACAAGTATAAATAAACTTAGTGACTCACCACCCCCCTCTAAGGTAACAATTATCTCTTTATCCCATCCCTTATCTGTAGACCAGGGGTGTCAAACTGCTGGCCCCGTGGACCAGAGGTGTCATGCTGAAACTGCGCCCACTTCATTGCCGGCAATGGAAAGAAAGTCGTGATATGTCACAACATGTCATGTGATGTTGTGAGTTTGACACTCCTGCTATAGACAAATCCATAAAGCACCACATTTTCAGTCCCTGCCAGCAGAACATCCCTAAAGGATTTCCAGAAATAACAACATATCTTATTTTAACCTTTAACCTTGTACTTCAGTATCTTATTCAATGAGTTTTTTCCAGAGTGTACTCTAATGCCCTCCCTTCTGTAATTATGGTTGCAGAAATAAAAAAAATCCCTGTAGAATTTAGGCAATACAAGTAGCCCTTGACTTACGACCACAATTGAGCCCAACATTTTTGTTGCTAAGTGAGACAGTTGTTAAGTGAGTTTTGCCCCATTTTACAACCCTTCTTGCAGCACTTGTTTAGTGAATCGCTGCAGTTATTAAGTTAGTAACACAGTTAAATGAATCTGGCTTCCGCATTAACTTTGTTTGTCAGAAAGTCGCAAAAGATGATCCAGGGACTATTGCGTGTGCAATAGTCGTAAGTGTGAAAAATGGTTATAAATCACTTTTTTCAGTGCCATTTAACTTCAAATGGTCACTAAATTGCTGTAAGTCGAGGACTATCTGTATCCTTGTGTCACAGATAGGTCTGAAACCTTAGAACAGGGCTCTTCAAACTTGGCCCTTTTATGGCTTGTGGACTTCAACTCCCAGAATTCCTCAGCCAGGCATGCTGGCTGAGGAATTCTGGGAGTTCAAGTCCACAAGTCATAAAAGGGCCATGTTT